CTGAAGTTGGCGGAGTGGGAGCGGAAACAGCAGGTGTGGGGGTGGGGGTGGGGGGTTGTGTATGAGGTGGGGGGTGGGGGTTTGGGGGGTGGGGGTGGGGGGTGGGGGGTGGGGGTGGAGGAAATACCGGTTTTTGCGCCTGCCCCACCCCTCCTCCACACAACCCCACACCACACAGCACTAAAACTTTAACACCAACCTAACCCCAGCCCTTTACCCTCCAAAACTTTGGCTGTTATTTATGTTGGTAATGGTAGTTATGTCGGTTATGCACAGTTGACTGACCGACCTCACGTGCTTTCCATGTGACATAATCTTACATCAGCAGCAGCATCGTACGATTTATTACTATACCACTTCCCGCTCCCATGCTACCCACCTTCACTCACTTAAATGAGGGAAGTCTGTACAGGTTTTAGGGGGTTTAAGGGTTTTAGGATTTTAGGGTTTAATCTCTTCTCACTCCAAAGATTGAGCGGTTGCACTCCCCATCTTTCCCTTCTTCCTCCTCCCCCTCCTCCCCCTCGTCATTCAGGAGCTGGCCGAGGAGCTGGACAAGCACCGGCGGCTGTTGGAGGCGGAGCGGAGGGCCCTGGAAGTGGACATTGCGGAGCTGGCTGCCGGAGTGAACACTGACCTGACCAGGTTGTCCAACTCCAAGGTAAAAGGGGAGGGGGAGGGGGAGGAGGACCAGCTCTTGACTTGCGAATGCATGTGTACGTGTGCATGTGCATGTGCATGTGCATATGTGTATCTAAGTGGGTATGTATGTATGTCGGCCTGGTGCTGGTGGGGAGTGCGGGTGGTGGGGGACGACGGGCTCGGATGGCGGTGGTTGTGGCGGTTGACATGGTGGTTGGTCTTTACGTATACCGAGCAAATAATGGTACAGACAGACAGACTGACAGATGGGTACAAAGATAAACGTGGGTGTGTCAATGCGGGATGGAGCGGCAGGCAGCCACGGAAGGCGACCGACCGAGATCGGGAGTACCAAAAAACACCAACGCTACAAAAATCGATCTCAGAGAGACGAGAATTCCTTTTGCCGTACCCGACCTCCCCACCCGCGAACCCCAACCACCAACTAATACCCCCCAAACCCGCTGGCCCACCCTTTCCCTTCCTTCCGTGCCACCCTCCGTACAATCCTCCGTACAATCCTCCGTACAATCCTCCGTACACCACAGGTCCGCATGGACATGGAAATCGTACACTTGGAGCGCCGCGCTACCGACCTCGCCACCCTGGTGGCCTCCCTGTCCGCCGCCCGAGCCGCCCGAGCCGCCTTGACGACGCAGCTGGCCGCCAACACCACCCGCCGTACTCGCCGCTCGCCACTGCTGGCGGCGCTGGAGGCCAAGGTCCAGGCAGCCCAGCAGGCGTACGAGGACATTGCGTTGAGTGAGAAGCAAGTGGACAAGGCCTTCCGGCGGGAGTTCAGCAGCCGGCCTGAGCTATGGGATGACGCGCAAAAGGTCTACCGCACCAGGTCGCATCTGCTGCATGTACGGCAGGGTTTGGGGGGGAGGGGCGGAAAATCATACTTTGGGGGGAAAGTGGGGAATCATATGCTGCAAGGAAATCAGGAATGAACTGTCGGAAGGCGTTCAAAAGGTTCAAAACTGCTCCTAGGAAGCCCTAAGCATGGGAAGATGGGGTTCTTTGCAGTACGTTTTTGGGTTTGGATGTACGATAAGGTCACGTCGTAGAACTCCATTTACTCAAGCGTCATGAAGCACTGTGTATGTGTATGTTTAAGTGCATGTGTCTGCGGTACTGCCGTAAATACTCCAAAACCACATCCGTTGTACCCTTCTCCCCCCCCCCCGCATTTCGCTGTCTATGTGAACCCGCAAACCCGCCCCTTCCCCCAGCAATTCAAATGAAGCCTTCCCCCCCATCCCACCCCACCCCTTCCTTCCCCCTATCCTTCACTCGTTTGTGGTTCGTCTTTCCCCCCTATCCTGCCACACAGGGCTCTGCCTCGACGGGCAGTCTCGGAGCGACTGTCCCTGGCGCCGCCGCCACCGCCGGCCCCTCCCCAACCCCCGGGTTCGTGACCACGGCTCGTCTGCCCAGCAAGACTGCCCTAGAGCTCCTCGGCAAGAGTCCGGAGGGGCAAGCCCTGGCGGCGGCATTGGAGACTCCCGGCCCTGGGGAGGTGTCCCAGTCGCAATCGACCACCTCAGTGCCGGTCCTAAGTGAGTGACACGTTTTAGGGTTTTTCACGGGTATGTGTGTGGGGTGGGGAGTTTCGGGAATGTGTGTATGTGTGTGGGGTGGGGGATGGGGGGGGAGGGGGTAATGTCTATCCCATAAAAGTTGCTACTTTTTCTCGTTCCCCACCTCCCAACCCCGAACCCCCCAAATCACACAGGGCATGTGTACGGAGATAGGGCCGTACACGCATACGCATGGGCACACGGAAAGACGCCTTCCCTCACATGTTC